CCAAGTCCTCAAGGTCGTAAATCACGTGCGTACGGTTTTGACCGTTTTTCACGTGTTATACCGATTGACCAAGATTCAAAAGTGGTTTTTATAAAATAATTATTCGGGAACCTTTAAAATATGCTCAGAGATAAAACCAGGGTTTAAAATATTGAAAACCACGGAGTTGGTTCGGGCGCCAAAAACCGAACGCCGAAAACCGAACGTCGAAAGCCGAACGCCGACTTAGGTGGTTTTGGTTCTGAGTAAGGACCAGGGATTTTTAATAATAAAAGAAGTCATCAAAAAATGTTTGTTTTGATGCACAAAAAATGTTTTATGGTTTGTAAAAATTGTTTTGACTTTTTGAGAACCGAGACTTGAATAAATTGTCGGTTTTGATCACAAAAGACCGACTCGACTAAGTCTTCAATTCTTGATCTTGTCCTTGAGTCTTTTAGGTCTTGTTCCAAGCCATTCTTCACGCCTTGAGTTATTCAACGAAACTCTTCATATCCACGGCGGTTTGGCAATTATCAAAACCTGTCAGAAATGAACACGACTTTAGTTTAACGTGCAAAGTGTGTTCCAACACATTACACATCGGTTGTTTGATTCGTTCTAACAACAGTCTCGACGAAATAACTACTTGAAGCACCGCCGCTTCATCGTAGTAACTCCGGCATCGTATAACTACTTGAATCACCCTAACACTCAGCTCTTCGGTAAAGATAATAATTATTTGAGTACGAAATAGGTCGGTCAAAAAAATGTTGTACGTAATTTTTTGCAGGAAAATATCTCATTTAAGAAATTAGAAAATTAATGAAGATGCTGTAACGCCCCTGAGACCCGGTCTATTAGAATGGATTAATTTAATTAATTAATTACTAACTCGGTTCGGGGTTGGGAAAATAAAGTCTTCAGGAAAATTATTTGATCACGTCAAAATATTCGTCTTGACTGTCTGATTCTAGAAACGCAAACAGATTTCGATTTGGACCCGTTCGGGGGAAAAACCCTGTACCGTACAGGTCAGATTTTACATAACGGAATAGAATTTAGGGGGATAACTCCCCATTTAATTCCTTCAAAAAACCACGCCACACACACCCATCATTTTCTCCACATTCATACCCATTATTATTTTATTAAAATCCATTCAATATATAGGTCTCTTCCCTCTTCACTTCCCCCCATCCTTGTAACCTCCCAAGCATTCATCACTCTCATAACTCTCTCACTCTCTCCCTCTTCCTCGCTTGTGTTCGGCCAACCCACAGCAGCAGCCAAGCGGGGAGATTCCGGTGAGTAGACGGGGAGGTAGAAGAAAGAGGTTCACGCAAGAAGTTCTTCTGATCGTCGTTCGTCGTTCAATGTTGTCAATTGTTCGTTCATCTCGTTTCATCATTCCGTCAACCCATTCGTTAGAGGTGAGTACGTTGCCCTCTAACTTTAGAATTCATAGTTCAATCATATCGTTATAATCATAGGATTACCCGGCTAAACCTACGTGTGTCCACTTTATCATGACATTTCGTTATATAGACTCTTCGCATGCAAACTCGATACCGTAGACGTTTTTGTAACTCCATAAATACATAGCTCATTTACTGTGAAAACATAAACGTTCATCCTGAAAACTTCCAACGTAAAGACTATAATCAAACTGGTTAAATGTGGAGCTGCGTGCAATGATAATCGATTCACAGAACTAGACAATCGATTATCAGGTCGCGCTGAACTTCTCGTTAGAGTCAGCAATGTGTGAAAATCAATTATCACATAGGTGATAATCGATTAACAGACCCTGCGGGTTCCTGAGTCTGAGCTGTTTCATCTAATAATCGATTATCAAAGAAGCAATAATCGATTATCAGGCCTCTCTGAACTTAGGACTTCCGAGACAAACCAACAAGACAATCGATTGTCATGAGTTGACAATCGATTATCTTAGTCTGTAGAACTTAGGGAACAAAAGCTGCACAGCATGTTAGTCGACTATAAGAAATGGATAACCGATTATCAGCCAGTTCTGAACCCAAGACCATCATATCGTATAAATCATTTCATATGGAATCAAACCTATATGTGTGTATTGAACTTTACTCATCAAGCTATGCATTCATATCATCATGTACATCCTAGATGCATGTTTAGGATCATGGCATACTTTGCATACCGCGACAAGAGGTCAGGCCTAGTGCGCCTCTTCCGCGGGCCCGTCCAAGAACCTGCGGGATCCAACGGGTTTTCATCACGAGGGCTTGTGTACGTACATGGTAGCTAGGCTTCAGCTATCACCCACATTCTAGTCTCCATTGTTAGAATAAATGCCCTTCACTAGAGGGGGGTGAATAGTGAGGCACGAGAATGTTTATAAATTTTCACGGAATAAAAATCACAGGGTTAGAGTAAAGAGTGGAATAAAAAGGAGTAAAGGGAGCACACCAAGATTTATACTGGTTCACCACAACGTGTGGCTAATCCAGTCTCCCGAGAGACTCTCTCGAGCGACACTACTTCCGTTAAGCTTACAGGTGCTTAACAAACCTTTACAACCTGAGAACTCGAGTCCCACGAGCCTCAACAACACTTGCTCGGAGATACCCCACTTCAAGACTTCAACCCAAAGGAAAATACCTTTCCTTCGTATAACCAAGGGAAACAAGCTTCCCTTAACGTGTATACAACACTAAAAAACCCAAGAACAGGACTCTTTTTAAGAGTAGATGTTGAGTAAAATATATACGCTCAAGAACAACTCAAACTTTACACAAATTGGCTCTAGAAAGCTATGGAAAATGATATTGTTTGAATGCAATGATAATATGTGTAATGTGAAGTGAATTGATTGTGTAATGCATACCCAAACATCCCTTTTTATAGTGCCAAAATAGGCTCCAACGGATCAAGGCATTAAAGTGGTAGTTGGCATGATTTATGGGATTGATATTAAAATGTGGATTTGCAGGATATTGGCTTTCCCAACGATGTATGGCGCTACCCATCGCTGGTAAGCCAATTTTCCTTTAGTTTTGAAGGCAACGGTCACCTACCCATCGATGGGTAAACACTTCCCATCGCTGGGTGGGAGTTTGACTTTCAAACAAGGAAAGCAGCCTTAAATGACTTACAACGGTCATGCCTAATCAGCGATGAGTATGCCCTCCCATCGCTTGGTTCCCATCGATGGGTAAAGGTTCCCATCGCTGGGTAAGGGCATTCTGCCTTGTGATTATATTGGACCAAGGCTTGAACAGCGATGGGTAGAACTTCCTATCGCTGTTTGGCATGGTTTTGGAATTCGGTTGGGCTGAAGGCTGCTTACCCATCGATGGGTAATATCTCCCATCGCTGGGTTGCATGATTCTAAAATCTCGAGATCACTTACCCATGGATGGGTGATATCTACCATCGCTGGGTAGATGGCTAGTCCAGAACCATGGCCTAGCTGACCGGCGCTCAAACCCGTCGAAAAAATGCAAAGTTCTCCAAAGTAAAAACTAAGTGTTTAAAACACTTATTTAATGTATTTTATATAGAAACCAAGTAAAAAAACTTAAAAACCACTTCATTAAGGTAAAAACCACGGCTAGCCAAGTTTATGTCGTTTCGCATGGTTTTTGCCAAACGACCAAAAACGAGAGGTGGTTTTTGAAGTGGGAAGTAAAAAACAATCATAAAATTTTGAAAACCACTTGGTTGGTTCGAGCGCCAAAACCAACACCGATAACCGAATGCATGTTAAAATAAAGGCCCAACGCTAGAGGGGGGGTGAATAGCATTTAAAACAAAATCGCAAGAAATTAAAACGAGAGCGTTAAAGTAAAGAGCGTAAGGAAGGAGTGAAAGGTAACCATGCAAGGATAGGCAGCGGAAAATAAAAATTTTAACATCCTAACATGATTATCTTGCCCAGAATCACGTACTAAAACTTATAGTGAGTAAGAAATTTATACCTTTCTCCGTAAGCGGTAAAAACGAAGAAGTCGTAGAAAAAGCGTTGAAAGTGCAAACGTAACCGTTCAAGCGTCCGGTCTCCAACTTTGACACACGAACAACGCCGGAGTCTACCACAATCTTTATGCTAGTAAAGATTATAATAGTATAAAATATAAAGATTAAAATTTGGGATAATAATAATCTTGTATATTTCTATAGAAAATATTTCTAATAATATTTAGAAAATATTATAGATATTTTCTATACACAAAATGATATTAATGGAACACTTAAAATAACATTTCTTCTCTCTAGAAAAATATGGCCGAATGACACACACCATCAAAATGATAATCTTCACCCTCTTTTTATTTAAAAGTGTCGTGCTATATTAAAAAAAAACAATGATTACAAAATGACTAATCATACTTTGTCATTAAGCTAAATGTTAGAATAATTAGCTTCACTCAAAAATCAATCAAACAAAATTTGATTCCTTTAAGATGTCATTTGGCCGAAAAATCATGTGAGAAGGATTTGTAAAATTCTTCTCCACTTAAATGTTCAAAGTGTATTTTATTTGACACCAAAAATTAATATAAAAATTAATTTTAAATCAAATAAAATACCAATATCATTTTTAAACAAGTATACAAATATACTTTAAATAGTTTATGTCAAAATAATTATTTTCATAATTAAAATGACAAACCAAAATAAAATATTCAACATATAATATATATACATTAATCGGTACATATATATAATATA